ATATATATATATATATATATATATATATATATATATATATATATATATATATATATATATATATATATATATATATATATATATATATATAACAGAAGGCCCAGTGTAAGATTAGCGTTGCTAAACTGTTTTTTGTATAATTGCACCTTCTTTAAATAAAGTTTATTATTATTATTAATAGATATATGAATCCCGTACGCCTATGAGTGTACTACTATCAGTGAACTCTAATAAGACTGGAACGATAACTCAGGTAAACATGCCCATACTTGCCTGAAGCCAACCGTGCAAGGAAATTGCACTTTAAAAGGACTAAGGAGAGTTTCGTGGAGTGGGAAATTCAGTCAAAGTTTTATATTTTCGACGAAAATGAGCAAGAAAAGTCGTTTTTCATCAAAACACTTCAATTTTAAAAACCCAAATACGATTTATTTGATAGTTATAACTGCTTTGCATCCTACAACAGCAAAAGTTTGAAGGGTATCAGGTTTGTTTTCATATAAAAAACGACATTAGTTGAACGTACCGAAGTGAACTTTGCTCTTCAACTAAAAAAAAACAACTTTAAAACATAAGTCTACGGACCAATACCTTTTTTGTATTAATGTCTAGGTATAGTTGTTTATTTTGAGTGCTTTTTGACTTCTCTAAAACGTGAATAAATCGATTTTTCCGTAGAAATCCCCCGTGATTTGCGATTTGTGATTTGGCGCCGGGAGAAGTTCGCGCGCTGTGACTTTCAAAAAAGAACTGGGGAGACTTCAATTTCCTCGTAATTTTGTTTTTTTAGCAAAAATACGTCGAAAAATAAGGTTTTTCGTACGAAGATTTCAATTTCAAAGATTCAAACCTGGTTTTCTGGATAGTTCTAAGTATTCTACATCCACTAACAGCAAAATCTCGAAAGGAACCATTTTTGTATTCAAGAAAATAACAAAATATTTTCCGTGCCGAACAAAATACGACTTTCAGGTACACAAAAAATAACGTTAAGTCTTTTCTACGGCTTCGAAACATGATTTGTGCAATAGCCCAAGTATCGTAGATGTTTTTAAGTTTTTTATCTATGTTCTAGCATAGCTAGAAAGGCAGAAATCCGACTTTTTCGAAGAGGTGTATTTTCGCCGCCGTACCTCCAATGGCGGCCTTCAATTTGGCTTCAAAGACGGCGGCCGAGTTATCGTTCCAGTCTTATTAGAATTCACTGACTACTATACTTTTATATTGCTCTCATGTGCATAGAGAGACAAGGTACGAAATTAGAATCTATAAACAATCAACTTTAATACATGCATGGTTGGGTATACAAAAACGTTTTGATGTAAAAAACGAATTTCTTTCTTGTTGCTTTGAGCTATTAGGCTATATTAAAACGGACGAACCATGTGGTAAGCGCATATATTAAGTGAAAGTGAAACTTATTCTCAAACAAATAAATGAACCAAGACTGCATGTCGTAATCTCTCTAAATTTGAACAAGATCGTGAAGACATTTTTCACAGATCAACTTATTGACTACACAACATTTAAATTCCTATCTATTGATAAACCAATTAGGAAGCCTACATTATACCTGCTTCCTAAAGTACACAAACCTGACGTACCGGGAAGACCAATTATCTCAGGATGAGGGTCCCACCGTCAGACTATCAGAGTATGTAGATATTTATCTGAAACCACTTGTACAATACATACCATCCTATATCAAGGACTCTACAGACTTTCTTAAACGCATTTTTAAACTAAACGAAACACTACCAAATGACTTTATACTAATCACAATTGACGTTAAAAGTCTATATACGAATATTCCCAACCATGAGGGAATTGACGCTTCCACTAAACACCTTAACAATCACGACACTACAGGGGTCAACATACAAATGATCCGAAGCATGCTTGAACTAATACTTGAAAATAACTACTTTGAATTCAATGACAAATACTACCTACAAACACACGGGACTGCAATGGGAACAACCATGGCAGTTCCAATACGCCAACATTTTTATTGCTTCACTGGAGGAAGAAATCCTTAAGAATGCACCAGAAGGTTTGACTCCTCTTGAGTAGACTTGCTCCAAGTCTCTCTTTGTGGACATCTATATCTTGTACATCTATATTGTACGTTACATGACGTACCGCTGAGGGGGAGAGGAGGAAAGAGAGACTTGTAACATCTGGCAGCAGACATACTTCCGGCTGGTCAATTTCGACCAGCCGGAAGTACATGGCCGCATTGACTTATCACGTGTTTAGGGGGGGGAGGGGAGAGGTGACATCTGGACTTTCAGAGTTATTTGTTTAACATAAGTAATTTTGTATTCACGAGATTTCTTGTAGATTTCACATCACTTTTGACTGCGTGCATTTGGAATTTTGGGCATTATTTTTGCAATTTATTGTAAACAACGATTATAAGAACGGATAAATTACAAATCAGCCGTAATCGTCATAAACCTCGATGACCACCAGTGTTTTTGTGTTTGACAATTTGTATTTCATTAGATATTTATATGCAAGGTCAGTATAAATGGGTTATCATATAAAATGATCATTCTAATGAATGAATTGATAAAACGAATTATTTCTAATATGTACGGCCGCGTTTTTTACACGGCCACTACTGAAACGTTTAGCTTGATTGTTGAATAAATCGATGAATTGCTTAGTTGCTTTCTGTTTTGAGCTTGACCACCGTTTAAGCTAAACGGGCTTGATACAACTGGCCCCAGATAAACATTTTTGTATTATCGAGATCGAAACTATAGTTAATTGGAAACCGTGTCAATAAAAAACGTACAATGAACTTATGAACATGCGAAAATTGTCACGCCCAAAATTTATACAAATGTTTATTTTGTTAAAAATTTGTAATTTTAGGCGTGACAATTTTCGCATGTTCATAAGTTCATTGTACGTTTTTTATTATTGACACGGTTTCCAATTAACTATAGTTTCGATCTCGATAATACAAAAATGTTTATCTGGGGCCAGTTGTATCAAGCCCGTTTAGCTTAAACGGTGGTCAAGCTCAAAACAGAAAGCAACTAAGCAAGTCATCGATTTATTCAACAATCAAGCTAAACGTTTCAGTAGTGGCCGTGTAAAAAACGCGGCCGTACATATTAGAAATAATTCGTTTTATCAATTCATTCATTAGAATGATCATTTTATATGATAACCCGTAAACATACTGACCTTGCATATAAATATCTAATGAAATATAAATTGTCAAACACAAAAACACTGGTGGTCATCGAGGTTTATGACGATTACGGCTGATTTGTAATTTATCCGTCGTTGTTTACAATAAATTGCAAAAATAATGCCCAAAATTCCAAATGCACGCAGTCAAAAGTGATGTGAAATCTACAAGAAATCTCGTGAATACAAAATTACTCGTGCTAAACAAATAACTCTGAAATGTCGCCTTCCCCCCCTAAACACGTGATAAGTCAATGCTGCCATCTACTTCCGGCTGGTCGAAATTGACCAGCCGGAAGTATGTCTGCTTGCCAGATGTTACACGGGTAAAAATTGATCAGGTTGTTCAAACAGTAGCGAACAATGTTGTGCTGCACCCCGTGAACAATATTGTTAACAAGTTGTTCCGAGTTGTTCAATCATCAATATTGTTGCAAGTTGATAACATGATTGTCAACAAGTTGCAACAACGTTGATGGTTCAACAACATTGTTAACAATATTGTTCACGGGGTGCAGCACAACATTGTTCGCTCCTGTTGTGAACAACTTGCATCAACATGATGATTTTTACGCGTGTACAAGTCTCTCTCACTGAGCTATACTATATTACTGGAGGAAGTGCTCGGCAAAAAAAGTGTCCGCAAAAACATGGCGGATTTTCGCGCCATATGACGCCATTTCCATGACAACTGGTTCCTCCGGCTCATGAAATTACCGCTGACCAGGCTCAATTCTGAGCCCGCTACAATTTTCACCCCCCCTGGTTTTATCAAAATTTTTTTGCTTTTCGAGGTTTTTGCAGTAAAATCTCGTTGTTTTTTATATTTTTTCGACTTTTGACCATTTGTTAAAAGATTTAAAAGTCGTACACGCTATTCTCACCCGCGAAAGACAACAAACCAATATGAAAAGCCCGAGAAATTTAGGCAAAGGCGATATTTGATGGCAGTCGGCAGAGCTCACAGGTAAATATTTTACATACTTTTGTCTATTGATATGTTTTTATTTTTAATTTTTAAAAGATAATGGGAGTAAATGATAGAATACAATCCATTAGATAACAGGCTCTTTGTATAGTATAACGTATTATTTTCCCCCATGTGTTCAAAGTCTTGTCGTAAAAAAATACAGAAACTTTGTTTTTATATTCAAATTAAGTTTTTTTGTTGTTTTTTTCTTACTTTACAAGCTTTGTTAAATATTTGTTGGCTGGCCATGGTTTTGTTAAACAAATTTTGTTTTATTTAATTCAGTTAAATCAGTTTTTCCCTCAAATCCTTTGGGTTTTCTATATAGACTGATGACTGAAATCTGACATGCTTGATTTTATGCAATTGTATGTGCTAAATGAGTGTATGTACAGGTGTAAAGGCATGAAACAATGTGCTTCTATCTATATTCTTTGTGTTTATATATACTAGAGTCTGTGGTTATTATAGTATGCATAATCTAGGGTGCCAGTAGAAGCTAGCCTAGGGGTGCCAGAAGCTCAGAATACTGTGGGCAACTTATCTGGTAATATGATTTCTACCTAGATTTCTGACTAATGACATGTTGAATTGAGGATTCTTGAGCCACTAGAAATAGGATTGTACTTAATTCTTGAATGTTGGGTACCAATCACAAGTGTAGGTATATAAGCAAAGTATCTAGATTATAGGCTTTATAGGGTTGCACTTGATCTCATTATACAGGCCAGAACTGAGAAAGTCACACATGCTAGTCAGACATCAAGTCAGAAACAATTTAATTGGTAGATAATGTCACTTCCAGTCCATGCAGGTGGATTTATTTGGGGTTTTGTTCATTTCAGTCCTCTCTCTGTGCACCCCTGTATCAGATGCAACCACCTGAAACTAAGAAATCAATGAACTTCAACATTTCAAGTGAAAGACCTTTAGTATTATTTTTCAGGTAGTTGCATGATACATTCAAGCCTTTAAATAGTGTGGTGGCTTAAGCTGCTTTTCTCATTCCCTTTCTTCACTTTCTTACTCTTTTGTCTCTTAGTGAAAACTTTATTTTACAACATTTTAATTATATAATCTCTTTTTGGTCTAATTGCAGAATTATTTGATGGTGAGACAGTTCATAGTTCAACCTCTTTATTAAAGAATTATCAATTATTAGAAATAATTAATTTTGTTAGCAGTGATAAAGCTATCCAGACAAGTTATTATTGTG